CACGGACCAGATTACCGCAAATTCAGTGATTGAAAGCTGGGCTGGCTCAGTCGGAAGAGCGCACAGCTCTTGATCTTGGGGTCGTGAGTTCGAGCCCCACGTTGGGTATAGAGATCACTTAAATACAACTTTAAAATAAAATAAAGTAACACCCGCTGTCACCTCACAGCTCTGCAGGCCACAGTCCAGGGCCTCCCAAGGCCAGAGTCAATGTGGTGGATGGTGGGCCTCTTCCCCGAGCGGCTGGAGGTAGAGTCTGTTCTGGGCTCATTGGCGGAAGTCAGTATCTGGTGGTGTTAGGCCCGAGGCCCCCGATTCCTCGCTTGCTGCCAGCAGAGGTTTTGCTCAGCTTTCGCACGGGATGGCGAAGGATCCTTCTTGTGTTTCGCTCTCTCTGGCTTCCCCTGTGCCCCCATCAGAGGCAAATGTGCTGCTGATGTTTTCACGTGAGTCTCACAGTGCCGTCTATTGTTTACAGGTGTTCTTAGTGTCTATTGCAAAGGCTTAGAGACAGGCCGTGACCAGGCAGCTCAGTCCTGCTGTGGATTCCAGCTCCTTCTAACCCCCAGACGGCCTCCAGGCGGGAGCTGAGCCTCCGGCCACGGTAAGTTCTCAGCAGGAGAGCAGAGCTTTGCCAGTTGGAGTTGACCCCAGTCCTCAAGCCCCCGGCACCCCACCGATAGAATAATTCTTGGAAAGAAGGTGACCCGACAGCAGCAATCTACTTTGGAAGCGGGACTCCCTCTCTGAGCTCCCTCTTGTAGCTTAGGGATAAAGTTGGAGGTCACAGAACGGGGTGGCTTCCAGAAAGTGTCCCTAAAACAGCTGAGGACGAGCTTGCTGACCGTGAATTTGGGTGATGCCATCGCATTAGGGGATCTGTCTAGGATTTGGTCGAGGGGAAGGTTTGCTAGGAGGAGAGGGGGTTCCCCGCTTTAAGGTTAGGGAAGCACAAACGAGGGAAGGGATCCCCGCAACACTCAGGCGACCCCCGTGCGGATTTCTCTACACTCGGTGCCTTCACTGTCCTTCTCTACTGCCCCCCGGCCCCCCCCGCCCCTCCACTGCTTGTGAGATGCAGACCGTCCTCATGTAGTCGAGGCACAAAAGTTGCTTTCTTAACCTAAGAGTATTTCATTTTTCCTTCTCATGTTAAAGACGAAAGAAAATGGGTGTGAGAGAGGTGTTCAGAGCCACCCAGCTTACTAGAGGCCGAGCCAGCACTAGCGCCCAGGGCTCCCGTCCGCCAGGGCCTGCCAGGCGGGGGCTTCCTCCTGGGCGCCTCAGTTCATCGCTAAAACCCGCCCCTTCCCACCTTCCACCCCTTCAGACCCTCTCATGGATCTCCTCTCCTCCAGGGGAAGGACTCTGGTAGGAGGTCATGGAGAGAAAACCCAGTAAGATGATATATGTATATTTTTATGAGATACTTAAACAGTGGGCATATGTTTATTGTCTAAAATAAATTAGAAAATGCCACTATTGTAAAAACAAACGAACACATCCTACCATGCAAAGGTCACCATCGTTAACATTTTGTGTGTTTTGTCCAGAATTTTTTCTTCTTTTTTTTTTTTTTTTTTTACAAAAACCCATTCCATGTGCTGAAATTGATGTAGACAAACAGGCAACAGAGCAAAGTGTCCCAGTGTCCCCTTTGACCACTGTTTTGGACCCACTCTATTGGGTCTGCCTTCCTGCACTTGTTCCCTGGGGTTCCTACAAGGTACCACAAACTGAGCTGCCTAAACAACACACACGTGGTCTCTCTTGACTCCCTTGACCTTAGAAGTGAAGGCGCTGGTGTGGCCCGTTCCTTCTGAGGCCCTGATTGGGGGGCCCGTTCCCGGCCTCTTTCCCGCCTTCTGGGGCTTTGCCGGCAATCTGTGCCCATTCTTGGTTTCTGCTGCATCACTCCGAGCTCTGCCATCATCCTCCCTGACGTTCTCCCTGTGTGAGTCCCTGGCCCCAGTTTCCCCCTTTTGTAAGGACGCTAGTCCTTCCTCCTGGACTGGGGCCTGTCCTCATGACCACACCGTCACCTGATCATTGACAAAGGCTCTGTTTCTAAAGAAGGTCACATTGGGGCGTCTGGGTGGCTCAGTCGGTTAAGTGTCTGACTTCGGCTCAGGTCATGATCTCGTGGTACACGGGTTCGAGCCCCGCGTCAGGCTCTGTGCTAACAGCTCGGAGCCTGGAGCCTGCTTCCGATTCTGTCTCTCCCTCTCTCTGACCCTCCCCCATTCATACTCTGTCTCTCTCTGCCTCAAAAATAAATAAACATTAAAAAAATTAAAAAAAAAAAAAAGGTCACATGCTGAGATATTGACAGCTAGGATCCCCAGCAGATCTTTCTGGGGCACAGAGTTCAGCCCAGAACACTCTGCTGCCAGGATGACATCTCTGGTAACCCAGAGGGGTCCTGTTACTTGAGGCTGTAATAAGGAACAGTCTCTCCTGGCTTGCTGGCGGGCTAGTGAACATCTCACTGCCACATCCGGGTTCTCTCTCTCCCTGTGGATCTGCAGCTCTCCACTTCCTCCCACCCCCCATGGAGGGCCTGTGATCTCTTCTGTCTCTGCTCCTCCTTAACCCTTCCTTCTCCTCATTGGACCACTTCTTTCTCCGCCAGGGGCAGGGGTGGAGAAGGGGAAATGGAAGAGAAGTGACACAAACATTTCCTTGTTGCTTCCGGTAGCTCTCCCCCTGCCCAGCCATCTGTCCTTTATCACGCGGGAGGCCGCGTGATGGCTTTGTAGGGGTGCAGAGCCTGTGACACGAGCAGGGGCTCTCTTCGCAGACCTCTGTGCCCGCTCCTGGCTCAGTGCTCTTGCTTCCCAGGGCTGGCTCTCTGTGTCCCGCAGGCAGCCTGCTTTCTCCCCATGTTGTTCAGGCTCCCCTAGCTTCCTGCCCCCCACGTGGCCCCGGGGAACGCTGCATCCTTGTTCTAACACAGGCAGGCTGTGCAGGTGTCTCTCATTCCTGCCCCCACCCCCCACCCCCCCACCTGGCCACCACGGTGGCCTCTGCCGGCTTCTCACTTCCAAGAGCTCCCTCCTGCCGTTGGGCTCCCGCATCTGCAAAGCTTCCCCCAGAACGCTTGCGCCCCCCTCTGTTGAACCACCACGTGCCCATGTGTTTCTGTAGCTGGGTATGCGTCCAGCCTGGGGAGCCAGGTTACTCCCCCACTTTTGCTGGCTCAACCGTCCCTCTTGTCTTGGGACGGGGGTAAAACACCATGTATCTACGTCTTCAGTAGTGCCCCTCCCTGCTCCTTCGCTCTTCCTTATCCGAAGGAAGGTGTCCGTTAGGTTGGGTCTGCCAGCTCCTCCAGAGAATTTGGGGTGTCTGGGAATTGAGCTAAAACTTCAGGTACCCGGGGAAAATACCACCCATCTCTGCCTGTTACCCATCTGTGAGTCATGTGTTTGTGAATTTCATAGCTTCCTTTTTATCTATTTATTTTTTCCCCACTTACTGGTGTTGCCAGAAGCTAGTTCTTACAGATATTCTGTAACAGTTTAAGTTGATTCATAGCATGGCATGCTTTGATTGTGTCATAATTGATTAACCAATCTGTTATTTTTAAGCACTTAGGTAGTCTCCAATTTAAAAACCAAAACCAAAACTCCCTCGGAATTCTTTATGGAGTTTCTGTAATTCTAGAGTTTGAGCGTCTCTGCAGACTTCTTGGACCCAACTCCAGTGTGTGTCTGTCCTGAGTAGGAACATTCCTAAGACCAACCTCGTGTCTGTTCAGGAGAGAGATAGGTGTGGGGTCCCGTTGATGATTCCAGCCACAGTAAACTTGCTCCTGAACCTTCGTGTTCCTGTCCCCTGGCCAAATGAGAAAAGGAGGAGGAGGGCTCAGGAGAAACCATCAGATCTTGTCCCATGTTTGGTAAGTGGCAGAGCCAGACCGGGACTGCTTCCTGGGCAGAGGCCAGCACAGCCGAGCCAGGGCGGTTCTTCCTGACAGTGAACGTGGACAGGCTGCAGGTGGAACAGAAGCACAGGGGACCCAGCGGGTCCGGGATGGGATTGAGGGCCCCGCCAAGTAGCCCTCAGCTTGTCTCAGCTGAACTCCATTCATTGGACTCTGCCCTTCCAGATCCCATTGTTAGATTTTCCTGTGAGTTGACCCCAGCGTCTACCAGGGGCAGGAGAGGTGACAGAGGTTCGGGTTCGAAGCTTCATAGGCTACAGATATTTAAAAAATAACTTTGGTATACAAAGTACCAGTTTGTCCTAGAAGAGATTAGGAAATTCATCTAAGTACAAAAAAAAAAATTGTTCAGTGGTCATTATCTACCTACCTAGGGCTAACTGCTGCTACCTTTTTGCCTTGCATCATCTCAGAGATCTATGTGAGTGTGTGTGTGTGCGCGCGTGTGCGTGTGTGTGTCCGTGTGCATGGGATCAAATAGTCTTCGGCCACCTTTTTTAATTATCCGTATGCTATCCAATAAAACCATTTTTTCCATGGTTTTGTTTTCATTAGCTACATAACGTTTATTTCCCTTTGGAGTAGTGTTTTATTTAACGGGTCCTGTGTAGATGGATATTTCGTTATTTTCTGGGTTTTTTTTCTTTTCAGAGTTTTAACGAACTATAATAAACACCTTGGCGACTAACTCTTCGCCTGGACTCATGATTGTTTCTTCGGAATAAATTTCTATTCAATTTCTGAGTAACGAGGGGAGGGGTTAGTAAATTGCACATTGACTATGGAGACAGACATGAGTGCATTAAGTAGACAAGGAGAATCCAGGTTGAACCCTCGCCAGGTTGGGTCCCCATCACTCTGCAAGGCATGGGCATTATGTGATGTCCTCCGTGGGGGGAGGGGAGCCTGTCCTCCCCCAGGCCTGGTGGGGGGTGGCAGCAGTTGATCCAGAGGCCCGGGGCAAGCTTGACCTCTCACGTCCTCTCCCCTGCCCTCCCCTCCCCATCTCTGCTTACACAGGTGTCTGCTTTCCCCCGCCCAGCAGGGAAGGACCATGTCCCAGGTGAGTGTGGCATTTCTTTCTACCGCACTGTGCTTTCCCGGGGACTTAGGGATGCTTCTAAGAATGCAGCCAAAAAAATACTGCAAGCAGGACCCAAGATCACTGAGGACGCAAGGCGAGTGGAATATGGAGGCCACGGGGAGGGCGGGGCGGATGCGCTGCTGAGGCCGCCACAGTTCTGAGGTGCCCGGTGTCTGCCATTTCTGGCACTTAAAAAAAAATACATAGTTTTTTAATGTTTATTTTTGAGAGAGAAACAGAGTGTGAGTGGGGAAGGGGCAGAGAGAGAGGGAGACACAGAATCCGAAGCAGGCTCGGGGCTGTCAGCACAGAGCCCAACGCGGGGCTCAAACCCATGAACCGTGAGATCCTGACCTGAGCCGAAGTCAGACGCTTAACTGACTGAGACACCCAGGCGCCCCTCTGGCACTTTTATTTATTTCTTTTATTAAAAATTTTTTTAATGTTTGTTTAAGAGAGAGAGAAAGCCATCGGGGAGGGCAGAGAGAGGGAGAGACAGACAAGCCAAGCAGGCTCTGCACTGTCAGCACTTAGCCCCACGGGGCTCAAACCTCCGAACCATGAGATCATGAGCTGAGCCGAAATCAAGAGTCGGACACAACCGACTGAGCCACACAGGCGCCCCAGATGTTTCCGGCACTTTAAAAAGGTTCCGTCTAACATAGGATTTGTGTTGTCTGCTTGGGACAAGCACGTCCACGTCCTAGGAGAACTAAAGCTGTTTCCAGTATTAAGAAGGTACCAGGGTCGGCCTTAGGGTGTGAGGTGTCACGGGCAGGGTCCTGTCTAGTGATGACAGTGAAGTGGACACAACAGCGAGTCTGGACTCTCCGTTGGGTGTAAGCAGTGGGTCTTACGGCCGTGCAGAATCTGTGATGCTGGTTGTTTCAGGGATCAAAATACTCCGTTCTGCGTAAACTGCCTTGTTCTGTCACACTGACCCAGATGAAACCCTGCATTGTCCAGAAGAACAGACGAGTAGCGTGTTCTTCAAATTATCTTCTGTAATAGTTTTTTGACACAGATGGAGAGCAAACAGCCCCGTTTCAGACTTTGGTGGGGGCGGAGAGGGAAGATGGCCAGCGCGCTCTTGGCCTTTTGTCCTGGAGTCTGAGCGTCTTTTCGCCACTCGGACCTCACGCATCTGCCCTTGCCCTGGGCCATCGTTCTCTTTGGACGTCAGTGACGTCATTTGCTGCCGGCCTGTCTGCATTCTCAAATTGGACCTACACGGCCCCTCTCTCTACCGTGAGCATGAACGTGAAGTGTGCTGGCCAGAATCCTTCAAGTGACAAGAGCCAGAAACCCAGCTAGAGCTAGTTTAGGGCCAACCCCAAATCTAGGCCACACCTGGCCTGGTACTCAGGGACAGTCACACCTACGAATGCATGCGTCTCCCAGAGTCTCTCTTGCCCCTTGTCTGTGACTTCCTTCTCTCATACCGACTGCATCCGTGTGGCCAGAGATAGGCATGGCCCACACCTCTCTTGCGAGGTCTGCCATAGAAAGGGACCAGGTTCTGTATCGTGGAGCCAGTTTGCACAGTCTTTGGGAGAGATGAAGATTTGGGCCAGCTTAGTTCGCGGTTAGGGCTGAGAGGCTGTGTCGGTGATGGGGCGCTCCCAGGAGCTTGGGGTGCCGGAGGGAGAGAGCTAGCCCCAGAGGAAGATGAGCCTCGTGGACAAACATTACAGCTCTCCACTCCAGGAAGAAAAACATATTCACAGGGTCGTGGTTTCTGGCTTGGGGACCTGTCTTGATGAGAGTGTCTGTGCCTAAAAAGCTTGAACCTTCTGGATGTTTGGTACCAGAAACATCTGGGAATAGGACCAGTATGAGAGGTCCGAAACAAGATGGCAGCTCCGTGGCCTCAGAGGAGAGACGTGGGCCGTGACGCGAAGCTGTGAGACCCATATTCAGGGCCCGGGTTTCCTCTGTGCCTTCTAGGGAAATTTGTTCTTTTGTAGGAAACCAGTCTTCACCGGGAACTTCTTAGGGTCATCCACAACAAAGATAGTGACAATAAAAGGTCTAAGCTCCACCTGTTGAGCACTTAACATGTCGCCATTTCATGAATACCTGTGAGATGGGTATTATTAACCCCTCTCCCATTTTAGAGATGAACACACACAGGCTGGAGGTATTAAGCAAGCTGCCTGGGATCTTGCATCTATTAGGTGATGGAGTTGGGATGTGAATGCAGACAGACCTAGAACTGGGCCCTCAGTGATGGAGCCACACTGTAGTTTTCTCTGGCCAAAACACACCCCCGGCAGAGAAATTCAGTTGTACCCTCTACAGTACAGACTTGCACTGTCCAATATGGTAGCCACCAGCCACGAGTGGATACTGAACCCTGGTGGCTAGTGTGGCTGGAGAACTGAGTTTCTCATTCACACTTAAATTTGGAAAGGGAATCAGAGGAAAATACTTTCCCATTAAACGCAACTTTATGGGGGCACCTGGGTAGCTTAGTCGGTTAAGCATCGGGCTCTTGATTTCGTCTCAGGTCATGATCTCACGAGTTGTGAGTTTAAGCCCCGCATCTGGCTTTGTGCTGACGGTGGAGCCTGCTTGGGATTCTCTGTCTCCCTCTCTCTCTGCCCTTCCACCCCCCTCAAAATAAATATCAAAATATTAAACACAACTATGTTTTTACAGGACTATATTTCATGAGAGTGAAATTGAAAACATAGTGTCTGAGTTGAGATGTACTGTAGGTGGAAGATACCCACCAGGTTTTGAACATATGGTATGAAAAAGAAGAATGAAAAGTATATCAGCAATTTTAAAATAATTATATATTGAAATGATAATACTCTAGATATATTTGGCTAAAAGATCTTATCTAAATTGTCTCCTTTTTTTTCTTAAATGTGACTACTAGAAAATTTTATCTAAGCCACTTTACTGAGGTGTGATTGACCTGCAAAACTGTGTGCTCACAACTCGAGAGGAGTTTAGATAAGTGCACATCTGTGAAACTACCACCACCGACTTAATCCATCACCTCCAAAAGTTTCCTCCAGCCCCCTTTTAAAATATCTCTATTTTTTTGTCTTTTGTGGTGGGAGCACTTAACGTAAGATATGCCCTCTTAGCAAATTTCTAAGGGTGCAGCGCAACGTGGCTCATTGCGACACTATGCCGTGCGGTGCATCTTCAGAACTTACTCTGCTTCCGTAACGAACACTGAACCTCTGACTAGCGCCTCCCCCTTTCCCTGCCCCTCCCAGTCCTTGGTAACCACCGGTTCTAGGAGTTGACCGCTTGAGAATCCTCATAAAAGTGGGCTCACACGGTATTTGTCCTCCCATGGCTGGCATATTTCACTCAGCATATGTCAGGTTCACCTGCTTGTCGCAAATGAAGGGACTCCCTTCTCTCTCCTGGCTGAGTGATGTTCCGTGCTGTGTGTCCACCACACGATCCGTTCGCCCACGGCTGGACACTTCGGTTGTTTCCATCTCTTGGCTCCTGTGGATCATGCTGCGAGGAGCACGAGAATGCACATATCGCGTTGAGACCCGCATTCAGTAAGATCACGTCATCTTCGAACAGAGATACGTTTATTTCTTCCTTCCTGATTCCAATGTGTTTTATTTCTTTTTCTCGCCGGATTGCTCTGGCCGGACTTCCAGTACTGTGTTGAATAGGAGAGGCAAGAATGGGCCTCCTTGCCTTGTTCCAGATCAAGGAAAGCTTTAGAGGGAAAGCTTTCACCACTGAGTATGATGTTAGCTGTGGGCTTTTCATAAATGGCCTTTATTGTGTTGAGGTAAGTTCCTTCCATTCTTGGTTTGTTGTGAGCTTTTAATCTTTAAAGGGCACTGAAGTTTGTCAAATTTTGTGTGTGTGTGTGCAGCTGTTGAGCGGATTATGTCATTTTTATCCTTTATTCCGTTAACGTGGTGTCTCGTATGGATTATCATATGTTGAACCATCCTTGCATCCCAGGGATAAGTCTTACTTGGTCGTGGTGTCTGATGCTTCTCATGTGCTGTTGGGTTTGATGTGCTAAGACTACCTTGAGGATTTTTGCACCTGCGTTTACCAGGGATCCTGGCCTGTAGTTTCCTTTCTGTGTGGTGTCTTTAGTTTTGGTATCATGGTGATGCTGGTCTCGTAGAATGAATTTCGAAGTATTCCCTCTTTTTCTGTTTTTTTTGGGGGGGGGGTATTTAAGAAGGATTGGTAGTAATCTTTAAATTTTCAGTAGAATTTGCCCATAAAGGTCCTGGGCTTTTCTTTATTTGGAGCTTTTTGGTGACTTCTTCATTCTCTTTGTTAGTGCTGTGCTCAGGCTTTCTATCAATTCAGTATCGGTAGGTTGTTTTTTTATATTTTATTGTATTTAAAAAATTTTTTTTCTTTAACATTTATTTGTTATTGAGAGACAGACACAGAGCGTGGGCAGGGGCGGGGTAGAGAGAGAAGGAGACACAGAATCTGAAGTAGGCTCCAAGCTCTGAGCTGTCAGCACAGAGCTCCACAAGGGGCTCACACTCAAAAACTGCGAGATCATGACCTGAGCTGAAGTCGGTCACTTAACCAACTGAGCCACCCACGTGCCCCATATTTTTTAATTTTTTAAAAATGTTTTATTTATTCTTGAGAGAGAGAGAGAGGCAGACACAATCCCAAGCAGGCTCCAGGCTCTGGGCTGTCGGCACAGGGCCCAACACAGGGCTTGAACTCACAAGCTGTGAGATCATGACCTGAGCCAAAGTCGGACGCCCAACCGACTGAGCCACCCAGGCGCCCCAGGTTTTTTTTTTTCTTTTTTTTTTTTTTTTTAGAATTGTGTTCATTTCTTCTAGGTTGTCCAATGAGTTGGCATTGAACTGTCTATAATAGCTATTATCCTTTTGATTTCTGTGACATCCGCTATAATGTCTCCTCTTTCATTTCTGATTTTATTTAGTCTTTTTTTTTTTCTTAGTCTAGCTAAGGGTTTTTCAATTTTATTTCAAAAAACCAGCTCTTAGTTTCATTTTTTCTATTGTTTTTCTATTCTGTTTCATTTATTTCTGTTCTAATTTTTATTATTTCCCTCTGCCAACTTGGGGTTTAGCTTTTCTTTTTCTAGAGGTGCAAAGTTAGGTTGTTTGAGATCCTTCCTTTTTGAATGTAGATGTTTGTTTCTATAAACGTCCTTCTTAGTGCTGCTGTTGTGGTATCCTGTAAATTTCAATCTGTTGTGTTTTCATCTGTCTTAAGATATTTTATAGTTTCCCTTTTGATTTCTGTGACCCAGCAGTGTTTAAGAATGTGTTAATTTCCAATATTTAAAAATTTTCCCCTTTTCTGTTGATTTCTAGTTTCATTTCATTGTGATTGGAAAAGATACTTAGAATGATTTCAGTCTTCTTAATGTTAAGACTTGTTTTGTTAGCTAGCCTATGATCCACCCTGGAGAATGTTGTGTGTGCTCTTGACAAGAATGAGTATTCTATTGCTAGTGGGTAGAATGTTCTGTAAATATCTTCAAGGCCTATTTGATCTGTAGTGTTGTTCACTTCTGAAGGTTTTGTTTTTACTGATTTTCTGTCTGGATGACTATTGAGAGTGGGTATATAAGTCTCTTACTGTTATTTCCTTGCTGTTTCTCCCTTCTGATTGGTCAATGTGTGCTTTATATATTTAGGTCCTTTTGATGTTGGGTGCATATGTATTTAAAACTGTTATATCTTGTTGAAGGGACCATTCTGAAGTTATAGAAGGACTTTGTCTCTCATGACAGTATGTGATTTAAAGGCTGTTTTGTCTGTTTTAAGTATTGCCAGACCAGCTCTCTTCTGATTACCATTGTACGGCATGGGATATCTTTACCTTGTTGCTTTCACCTACTGTATGTCCTGAAATCTAAAGTGAATGTCTTGTAGACAGAAGTTGGTTGGTTGGTTCCCTTTTTGTTAGGGAAGTTGAGTTCATTTACGTCTAAAGTAATTATTGCTAGGTAAAGACTTCTATTGCCACTTGGTTAATGGTTTTCTCTTTGGTAGTTTTTTTTTGTTCCTTTCTCTTACTCTTTTATCTTTATTGTGGTTTGAGGATTTCTTATAGTGATAGGTTTTGATTCTTTCCTTTTTATTTTTGTGCATTAGATTTTTTTTGTCGCTACCATGAGGCTTACATTGAATATTTTTACAGTTCTAGAAGTCTCTCCTAACCTGATAACTTCAGTCGTATGTGGAAACTCTATACTTTCTCACACACTCATACTTTGATATTTATGTCAGATTTTATTTCCTTTTATATTGCTTTTCCATTAATAAATCTGTGATTATAGTTGTACTTTTGCCTTTTAACTTCCATACTTCTGTTAAAAATGATTTACACAGTATTACAGTATTCAGTGTAAATTAATTTGTTGTTTTGGTCCTTAGTTCATCCAGAGAGAAGATGAAGGACAAGGGGAAGGAGAGCCAAGCCCTGTTCTGTATTTGTGGAATCCTTTCTGCCCTTTCCTCTTGGTGCTCCCTTAATTTTGACCATGTCTTTGCTTATAATTGTGCCCTAATTTTATTGATTCATTCCCTCCTGGTGATTTCCCACCTTTTTCTACATCGCTCATCTTTTGTCCCTCCCCTCCCTAAAACACCATCACAGGCATCCGCATTGCCCTGTGATTTGTGCATTTGTGCACATGTGCTGTCTCTCTCTCTCTCACACACACACACATCCATGCAGTATATTCTGTATTGTCGCTCCCAAGTATTTGCAGTGTCTACCAGATTTTTCCGTGACTCCTTGCCCTCGCTAATGCCGTGCCTCTTGGACACACGGTTTATCTTTCAAGATCATTCTCCAGGGCAGCCTCCAGTGAGGCTTCACTTGACGTCAGGACCTTGAACACGACTGCTGTCTTTGTGTCTGCTCCTTCTGTAATATACTTCCATTGCAGCCTGAGGTGTGATCGCACCACACGGAAGTCTTCTGTCCATCTTGCTCCAGCAGGGCTCCAGGTGCCTGTAGAACAGGAGTAATACTGTGTTCTGCTTCCCGCCCCTCCCACCCCCCCCACCCCCCCGCAGCCCCAGGCGGAATACCATCAACATACCAAATAGTCTGTAGATGCTTGCACGCCGAATGAATGGATGGATGAATGAATGCAGATCCAGGAGTGAGATCTTTTCTTAGGATCTTTTCTTTTCTGTCCCTGGAAATGTAGCACAGAGTTAGGGGCATGCCAAGCTCCCTAAATCACTTACTGTGGGGCAGTCCGAAGGCGCTAAGAGCCCTCGCCTCTGAGCCTTGGCCGCAGAACTCTGACAAGTATTTCAGGTTCATCGGGCACGTGTCATTCCAGGGCTCATTGTCATTCCGAGACGTGGCTGTGGGGTTCACCCGTAAGGAATGGCAGCATCTGGACCCCGCTCAGAGGACGCTGTACCGGGATGTGATGCTCGAGAATTACAGCCACCTGGTCTCAGTAGGTGAGGAAGGCTTCCTGCATTTCCCGATGAATGTCTCTTCTCAGTTATGTAAAACCTCTGAAATGTTTGGCCTTGGGTGTCCGTTGTCTGCAAGGCTTCCTGTCATCCCACTCGCGTTATTTGTGAATTTACCTCCTGTGTGAAATAATCCATTCTCTGGCCGACATGTAAGGGGGCGTCGTGTCCCCTGCTTCCTTGGATGGCCCAGGCGGCTCAGCATAAGTCCTGTGACTTGTTCTCACAAACAGGGTGTCAGGTCACCAAACCGGCTGTGATCTCCAGGTTGGAGCGAGGCCAAGAACCGTGGATGGAGGAGGAAGAACTCGTCAGATGGAGCTTTCCAGGTGAGAGGGGGGCAACGGACACACACTGGGCTGCAGAGCAAAATCTCCTGTGTTTGTTTCAGGCAATTGTTCTCAAAAGCCTTGGATCTTTGCAAGTAGCTGTGGATATTTGGTCCAAGGCCTTGAGATGCCCACATGACTCCTGCTACCTCCACACATCCCACCGCCCGACAGGATTCCTCCTCTTTCCCTGGCCTTTAGAGAGAGGCATATTCTGCTTTCATTCTTTCATTCCACCCTGCCGTCCCCATCTGAGACCTTGCTTGCTCAGTTTTTCTCTAGAATCTTCAGTCTTAACACTTACCCCATGGTTATGAAACAGGCTTTCTCATGTTTTCAGGGATTTGTAGATTCCCGCTATTAAAAATTTTTTTATTGGGGCGCCTGGGTGGCGCAGTCGGTTAAGTGTCCGGCTTCAGCCAGGTCACGATCTCGCGGTCCGTGTGTTCGAGCCCTGCGTCAGGCTCTGGGCTGATAGCTCGGAGCCTGGAGCCTGTTTCTGATTCTGTGTCTCCCTCTCTCTCTGCCCCTCCCCCGTTCATGCTCTGTCTCTCTGTCCCAAAAAAAAAAAATAAATGTTGAAAAAAAAATTTTTTTTAAAAAAAATAAAATTTTTTTTATTTTTGAGAGATACAGAGACAGAGCACGAATGGGGGAGGGGCAGAGAGAGAGAGGGATTCATAGAATCCGAAGCAGGCTCCAGGCTCCGAGCTGTCAGCACAGAGCCCGACGTGGGGCTCAAACTCACGAACTACGAGATCGTGACCGGAGTTGAAGGTGGATGCTTAACTGACTGAGCCGCCCAGGCGCCCCTCCCCCTATTTTAAAATAAGTTATTTTGTGCCACTCATTTTTGTCTTTTCTTTTACTGTGAAATGCCTCAGAAACTTTCTTGCTCCCTTTTATATGACTTTAGATTCCTCTTCTTTCCTAACTACGAAATATGGCCCCATTTTGCTTAATGGGATATGAACGGCACTCCCCCCACATGCATCCTAGTATAATCCCACGGTGGATACGGACTCCCTCTTTCTTTCAGGACAGGGGCCTTTTATCAAGCTTTTGTTCAGGGCACACCAGAAATCAGCTGGGGGCTTTAGAAATACCACCTGCCTGGGTCTCAGCCCAGAAAATCCTCATGGGGAAGATTAGTAGGCATTGATTCTGTCCCTTAGGAATTCAGCACTGGGGCTCAAGGAATTTCCACAGTTCTAAACCCAGAAGCTCTGTGGTTGCACTGGGTGTGGGTTTCATGGAGGTGAAACCACGGATAGTTGATGATTTAAAATGTAAGGGAACCGGGGCACCTGGGTGGCTCAGTGGGTTAACTGTCCAACTTTGACTCAGGTCATGATCTCATGGCTCAGGAGTTCAAGCCCCGCATCGGACTCTGTACTGACAGGTTGGAGCCTGGAACCTGCTTCAGATTCTGTGTCTCCCTCTCTCTCTGCCCCTCCCCCCACTTGCACTATCTCTCTCTCTCAAAAATAAACATAAAAAAATAATAAATAAAATGTAGGGAAGGGGCACTTGGGTGGCTCAAAGAATGGAACTCTTGGTATTAGCTCAGGTCTTAATCTCAGGGCCATGAGTTCAAGCCCCACGTTGGGCTCCCCTCTGGGCGTGAAACCTACTTAAAAAGAAAAAAGAAAAAAACCTAAATGAAGACAAAACCAAATGAGGATCTAAGCACAGGATTCAGAACCCAACATTTAAGAATCTCAGAGGAGGGGCCACAGTGATGTGGATACCAACATGCCCGAGGAATGGTGCTGTGGGGAGGCTGGTCTGTGGCCAAGTCCATCAGACATCTGGGACGTATCTCACTTTTTCCTTTCAAAAGCCAATGGATGAGGGTATGTTTATAGATTTATAACTGTGGTGATTGAATCTGGGCACTTAGGTCTGAAATTTATTCTTCCTCCTGTTTCGGATATAATTTTATTATTTTGCCGGGGGGGGGGGGGGCCTGGGTGGCTTAGTCTGTTAAGCATCCAACTTCGGCTCAGTTCCTGATCTTGCAGCTTGTGGGTTCAAGCCCCGCAGCAGGCTCACTCTTGTCCGCCTCGAGCCTGGTTTTGATCTGTTTTCCTCTCTTTTTGCCTCTCCCACAGTTCTCTCTCTCTCTCTCAGAATAAAATTCAAAGTGAATAACATTAGGGACACCTGGGTGGCTTGGTTAAGTGTCCAACTTCGGCTCAGGTCATGATCGCACAGTTCACAGGTTCAAGCCCCATGTCAGTCTATGTGCTGGCTGCTCAGAGCCCGGAGCCTGCTTCAAATTCTATGTCTTCCTCTCTCCCCACCCCTGCCCGCTTGTACTCGGCTCTTAAAAATAAACACTAATAAGATTATTTTTAAAATTTTATTTGGGGGGGGG